CAGTTGTTCCTTTGCAATTGATTTAGCCCTGAACACCTTCATTCTTGATATGCTTAATTCCAAATCCATTTGAAGCTCCTCCTGTAAGGCTGTTACTGGGATGCGAGGGTCGGAATCCACTTTTTGGAGAATAGTGCTTGCCAGGTATCTAGATGTACATGCCTTCACATTTCTACTTTGTAAGCATAAATGCTCATCAATAACTGTCTTCACCAACCATTGTTCCTCTTCCGTAGATCTAGATATTTGAATAGCAAAAGGACAAGAATCTTTTTGTGAAATTACAGTTTTGCCCTTCGATGTTACTTTACTTACAGTGGAGGGCCCACCAGCAGTGGAATCTGGAACCACCCCTTTACATTTTACTCTTACTCTCAATTTTTCATTTTTGGCCATGTGTAGGGCCCTCCTTGTTTTTATTGAAAGCATCTGCATGTGACCCTGTATATCCTTTTTGGTTTTAAAACCGTGACCCACAAAAAATGGTGTAACATGAACTACCCCAGAAGAACAAGGCACCTTCTTGTTCAGGTTTTTTAACATTCTCTTCCTTAGGTCTTCCTCATATCCCGCACTTTCAAACTCATCATTGTTGATCACACCTAAATCATCATCTTGATTTAAATCTAATTATATGTTTGGTCCTTGTCCAAACCATTCAACCTCATCCACACAACTGTTAAACTCTCTCATATCAACCTCCCAGTCATCTAAAATAGCTTCTGGGTCAACAATGTAGTCAGAATCATCCTCTTCTTCTGTATGCTCTTCTGAATCATCTTTTGAATCCTCTGCATGCCCTTGTTCATCTTCTTCATCCTGTTCTTCTTCAACTTTAACCTCTCTTTCAAACTCACCCATATTCTGATATCCATCACTACTAAAAGGCTAAAAATCATCTAGTATTTCCCTATGGTCCTGGCAATTAATATCAACTGTAATTTCTTGCATTGTATTGGTTTCTTTTGGTACAGGGAAATACGAATCATCCTTAAACTCATTAACCACATCTTGTTTGTTTGGCTCAAAAAGAACTAGGGACATGGAAAAATCATACACACCATCTTCTCTCTGTTCTTGATTAGCTGATTCTTTAAGTGGGACATTCATGTCTAATTTCTTGCTACAAGAACCAATTCCTTTCTTCTTGGGCCTAATCCTATTAAGTTCAGGAGAAGGATCATCATCCAGTTGCTCAATAACAACTTTACTTGGGGACATGAAGTAAGTGTGAAGTCTTGTAGAACCATGTTCAACGTACACATTAATCACTCTGTTTTGAGGGACATATTGAGCCATATATATAACGTCTTGATCATTTCCTAGAGCCTTCAATCCAAAATCTAAGTCTACATTAGGAATTCTATAATGATAGTACATTGTGTCATCCTTAGAATACCCTATCTCACGAATCATGTCATTTAGATCATGAACTGAAAAAAGATCAGTGTCAACAAAGTCAAAGAATGCCAACCTTCCCTCGACGTACTTTCTACCAGGGAACTTTGTAAAAAATCCACCATGATGTATCTTTAAAGTGAAGAAATTGTCGTGACCATCTGAAAAAGAAAAATCTATGAGATTTGAATATACAAACCAAGAAACACCAAACAAAAGATTAAATAACTCACTGTAATCTTTATCAAGGTCGGGTGCAATCATATGAGGACCACGTAAATTCCACATACACAGTACCATTTTTAGTTGATAAACCCTAAAATCGGATGCGAGGGATGAAGGATGAAGATCGTCAAGATGATCAGTAAGCTAAAGTAAAGTGGAGATGAAGGGGGGTTTCTTGAACTCTGGTTAATCAGAGGATAACTTAATGACGTATCACTGCCTAATCCATCTTAAATGAGCGCCAAACATAAAAAGACGAATATACCCCCACATTGATGACCCCAAACAGTTACAAACAGACGGAGTTATGAAAAAGGACCTCCAATGCAACTTTTACAAACCACAAGGGCCAAACGAATCAAAAAAAATAGATAGAGACTAAGTTTGTTACTTTTGGCAAACCACAGAGACCATTTTTGTAATTTTGTCTTTTCTAACATATCTACAAATACAAAATATAGATTAGATATTCAAATCACTATGTTTTCTTAGATTCAACCAATCATTATATCATTATGATCTTCCGACAAAACATCTATATTTATAAATTATTAATTTTTTTTTATTATTGCTCAATAACTACCTTATAATTTAATTAAGTTTTTTTTTCTTTTTTTATTTTATTTTATTTTATATCTGTGGTATCTACGTTATATAAAAGAATAATTCTAACTTTGGTAGGTGCATGATCGACGTCTGCATCTTCTTTACCCCATTTCATTGTGTTCGTGTCGTTGTTAATAATCTCTAAAATAAATGAAAGGATTGGATGGGATATTTCTCAAACTTTAAGGAACCACAGTTATAATGTTTTAAGTACAGGGATCAAACCTGGAAAAGAGGGGGATATGTATTATGTACAACAAAAGACAAACGCCTTTACCGAATTCAAATGTTTAGGTCTCCCTCCTGACAGACGTTACCACACGCACACACCTCACCTGAAGGTCCAACAATGGCGAATAACTCCAACACCAACAATGAAAATCTATTTTCTTTATTGATCTGTGATATCAAAACCTACAATGGCTCAGATCCTCTTCTCCCATGGCTCCGGTAAGCACAAAACCCTAAACCTATTCTTCTGGCTGTTAAATAAAATATCAGAATTGATTGTATAGAATGATCGAATAATCTCTTACAGAGGCATTAAGAAGATGACGGATTTATTACCTCAACAGCTACTCAAACAGAAACTTCCTCGGTTTCTTCAAAAGTGCGCTCAAACTTTCGAAACAGACCTCCGTTACCGCAATGATTTACGCTACCTTCGTGTTTGGATGAAATTGGTAACCCTAGCCATTCACTTTGATTGCATCCTCTTGTTTATTCTAATTCTCGAGATTCTAATATGTATAGTAAAATGTTAGATTTAAGAGAATGTAGAAGTTTACACGCTAATTTGAACATTGTTTAGAGGCTTCTTCTAACTATGCTTATATTATTCCGAAAGAGAAATACGAGATTGATTTTTAGATCAAACCTACTGCTGTATGTGTTCAAAACTGAGGGGGCGTTTGCATTTAGCTTTAATAACTGTAGGATTGAAGTTAGTCATAGCGATTAAAGTGACTTCAGTAATCAGAATGAAGATCAGAAGTAATATGATTCAAGTTAGGCACAGATAGGTGCATTTACGGTTTACCCTAAAAAATCACAGTTATATATACTCAAAAATCTGTTTTCTTGTAGCAACTGTGCTTAGACTGAAAAATCATCATTATATGTGATATATAAAGTACCAAAAACCACAAATTTGATGTTTTATAGATGTGAATGAACACATATGAGTTAACACTTATCAATCCAAGAACAACTTACCCAACAACAAAAATCATCATTTATCACTCAAAAATTCATCTTTATATTATTGTCATGTATGTGAAGTTGGATTTTGTTGATGACCCTGGTGCTGTTCTGGAGAACATGAAGGCAAATCACATTGGGAACAAGAGGTCACTATTTTACCAGGCCTATGCTCTTTATTATGAGAAATTGAAGAAATTTACTGATGCTGAAAAGATGTATCATTTAGGGGTGCAAAAGTAAGTGATTGTTATTTGTTACAACTTCAAGTAATTATCTGACTATATGATGACTTAATAATATAACATCTAAAAATGTGGCAGTCTTGCAGAGCCACAAGATGAGCTTCAAAAATCATTCGATCAATTTCTTCACAGAATGGAAAGACACAAAAACAAAAAGACTCGGGGGGTAGGTTTAGTGAAGGATAAACCGCCTTCAACACAATCAAAGTCCCGACAAGTAGAGGACAAAAAAGTAATTTCACCAAGTACAGAAGATGAGAAGGGTAAGGTGGGAAATATTGGAAGTGGAGTAGATGAACATGCTGGTGATAACACGGTTGTGGTAAGATTCACAAAGACTGCAATAGTTGGAAAATCTAAAGCCGAAGATGCACGTCATCATGGTCTTGTGGAGCCCACAATCAACACCAAAGAAGCCATGGATGCAATAAATAGCATGTTTCGTGAGCCTTTAGGTCCAGAACCTTTGCAAAAGTCCAACTCCAATCCAAAAAAAGATAAAGAAAACGCTGACAGCTTCAAGGTGTTTAATGATAATGACACGGGTCGACCCGTGGAGGAACCATTTCAAATATATTGTGATGATGATGATGATGATGATGAAAAGAAAATAGTAGAAGATCAAAAAGACAAAATTGAGGAAAAGGTGAATCCAAATATGACAAAAGGTTCATTCGTTTTTCAAATTCCTAAAGATATTCCTGTAGAATGTCCACCAGAAAAGTTCAGAGAAGATACAGTGATGTTGAGGTTTGTGGGGTCCACCATAGCAGACGAGCCAAAGGTGGAAAATGTATGCCACCATGGTCTAGTGGAGCCCACAGTGAACTTGAAGGAGGCCATGGATGACATTAATGGCATGTTTGGGAAACCTATAGAATTTGTAAGGAAGAGAAGACCAAGAAAGCAGGAGAAAGAGAAACCCTTTGAGGAGAAGAAAACTTGCAGCTCGTTTTTGATACTTCCAGATGATGATGAAAATGACAAATTTCAAGAAAAGATTTGCAAACCGAGTGGTTCATCTTCAAGAAAAGAAAATGATTTGTTTGAGCAAACTGTTTGCACAAAAGAGGCCATGGATGATATAAACAAGATGTTTGCAATGCCATTAGACTTTTGAACAACTTTATAATTGTAATAGCCATTAAACTGTTTCCCTTTCTTTTCATTTCTTGAAAAAAGTCGTGTAGTTAAACATTACAAATAAGCGCATTAATATCATTAAAGATAGAACGTAACAAAATCAACTCGAATACAACAAAAAGTAAAAAAACATAATAATCATGAAATCAGTTAATGAAATGAAATTTAAGGAGTGGTTTAGGTTTAGGTTTCAGTTTCAGGGTCGCAATTAGAAGGACGAAAAGCCAAGGGTCCAGAGCCATAAACAACAGCTTCATAATCCTTCCCATGTAACACCTTGTTCTCAAATTTCAAAGGCGACCCATTGATGCCATTATTAACATTCGACAAAAGATTGCATGTTGCAAGAGGAGATGACACAAGCTTCACATGGCAAGCATGAAGAGGATGATCCAACAAATAATGTGTCATTTTGAAATCTTTAAGCTCTGCGTAGAAATACCCTTCTTCATTTGTCACAAACGTGTTGTAATAACTCACTCTTTTTTTATGGTTTTTGCAAATCACACTGACTTTGGCTGCCGGAATTGGCTCAGCTCCGGTGAGAGACCATGACCCGAAGTATTTACAGCTCTGGCAGTAGACCTTTCCTTCCACCACAACGGTGGCGGTTTTGTCTTGTTTGAGGGGTGTTACCTCATGGGCGGCGGTGGTTGCTGCTAGGAGGGCTAGGATGGAGATGGTGATGATGAATTGATTGTTTGCCATTTTTGTTTTTGTGGGTCGCGGACTTGAAAAAAAGATTGAAATCTGTTTATGGGATGAAGATGATGGGAGATTGTGTGTGTTATTTATAGTTTTGTTGTGAATGTTACATGATTGTTAAAAAAATTAAAAGGTAAAGTTGATTTTGGATTTGGATAGACGTGGTAGCTACTACGCAAATTTCTGAACCCTTTTTTATATGAAAATTCTACGTGAAAGCCACTCATTGAAACGAATCTTTTATAAATCAAATCATATTATGTTGATTTTACATATTAAATTTGCAATTTTTTTTAATAGTTTATAAATTGGTATACAGCTTGTGTCTATATATAAGTTTAAACCTATCTATTTATTTATTTAATTATTAATATTATTTGTTATAATTTAATTTCATTTTTACATATTTTTGGAGTAATATTACGAATATATTCATCCTGCAATCGTGGTGTTCTAGAGTTCTTCTAGGCTATATTGGATATTGTGATGTACTGATGTGCAATTACTGAAGACGTGAATGACGCTTCTTTTACTAATTTACATTATACAGTATATTATATGGTTGAATTTGATCAAACCATCGAATCATATTTGATGCTTTATACTTGATTTGTTAAGTAAGGTGTTATTTGCTTGTAAGTTAATTAATATACTTAATAAATTGAGAGTCTTATTGATACATATAGGGTTGTTTGTAGTATATCGTTTTCCTTAAAGGCTTAAACTATCATATTTTCTTACCATACCTCTCAATTGTCTCCTCTAAAGAAATCTTGTGTTAATTTACTTAAAGAAAATTAAATTTGCATTTTACCATTTACTTTGGACGTATATATTTATATATGCATTTTTATTTTTCATACAACCACACATGTCATCAAGGGTTTGACAAAATAAACGCTTAAGTTTGCTGAACATTAACTCTATATCTAAATATCATGTTTTTTTATTTTATTTAATTAATTAATATAAATATATTAGTTAGCTAATAGAGATATATTTCATCCTGCTCATGTTATAACTAACGAGTATTAAAAATATTGGTTGGACTTAGTTTTTTTAGTCAAGGTGGAGATTGTTGGTTAAAACTTTGAAAAAAATACTATGGTCCAAAGACCATTTCTGTCAATAGGGTTAGCTTCTACTTTTGACCATATAGACATAAACAAACGTATAAAGGGTTAAGTTCACATTCTATTATGAAATATTAGTTTGTGCTGTTATGAAATATTAGTTTGTGAATGACCATTGAATTCTTTATTTCTCTCCATCATTATTTAGCATTATGGTCTAACTTCTAAGAGTGATGTTCCAAACATACTATATGAAGATAATACAGCTTGTATAGCTCCATTCAAAGAAAGATTTATCAAGGGAGACAGAACCAAACATATATCACCCAATTTCTTTTTCACTAATGATCTTCAAAAGGAGTGTGGCATCAACATCCAAAAAATTCAATTAAGTAACAATTTTCCTGATTTGTTCACTAAAACACTTCCTACATCCAAATTTGAAAAGATGGTACGAAACATTGTTATGCGGCGCTTCAAGGAAATCAAGTGATGTGCGGATCAGCGGGAGTTGGAAACATATTGTACTTTTTTCCTTAGCTATGTTTTTCTCATTGGGTTTTCTTAGCAAGGTTTTTAACGAGACAATTGTTTCCAATATCTATTATTAATCATGTACTATTTTTCCTTAATAAAAAGGTTTTTTTCCCATGAGGTTTTACATATTAAGGTTTTAACGATGCATGATACAATCCTCATTCAAGGGGAAGTGTTATGAAATATTAGTTTGTGAATGACCATTGGATTCTCAATTTCTCTCATAACTCCCCATCATTATTTAGCATTAGTAACAACCATTTCAATGTGTTTTATGAATGTAATAATGCACCATCATAATGTGCATTCATATTATAACTCATCTTTCATCTAATTTTGATAGTATAAATAGTGAGCCATATGTATTAGAAACTTGATGATTTCTTCACAAGTATTGGAATAAAAGTTCTCTCCACTCTCATGTCTTTCTTTACTTTATAATTTATCTTGTTATTTGATCATATTTTATAACACGTTATCAGCACGACTCTACCATAGAGCTCTAACTCTTTATTGTTCTTGTCATTTTTAGGTATGTATTTTATTTTAAGTTCACATGTACAATGATTACAACTTATTTAATGGAATTTCTTAACTAACAATTCTTTAACGTACAAGTCTTTATTTTGATTAGTATTTTCACTATGGAAAACCATGATAGAGAAAACTTTCTCTACTTTTCATGCCACTAACATGCTCCTGCAGTAGCAATATCATGAGAAATGTTTAAAATAAATATGAATTAATCTCATGTATTCTAGTGGCTAAACAAAACAATGAATTATTGATGAAAAATCATCAATCAATCCCGACCGCTTCTAGTGCATTCCTTGAAGTGAATGCAACATCATATAATCATAATTGTCATGGGTCTAACCGAGGTCGAGGAGGTTATCATAATTATCACAAAAATAACAAGATTACAAGTAACCACCAGAAGTTGGAAAATAACAAAAACCCACATCCTAATGATAAAACTGGTCAAGACAAAAAGAAAGTTGAAAATATTTGTCACCGATGTGGAATGACTAGTCATTGATCTTGTACATGCCCCTCTCCGCAGATTTTTGTTGATCTTTATCAAGATTCTCTAAAATCTAAAGAAAAATAAAATATCGAAACAAATTTATTCGAAATGATTTTCACGAAGATCAACCAAAAATGACACATTTGGATGTTGCGAATTTTCTTGTCAACCCAGAAGGGACAAGTGTGCTATGGATGGTGATGGAAGAATAATATATAATATTTTTGTTTCATGTCATGTATTATGTTTTTATGTCATTCGTTTCATGAGAAATGATGTCATCATAATATTCTCAAAGTAATAAAATATGACTTTATTTCTCTAAATCGAATGCTTTTATATTTTATTTATTTATTGAAGAGAAATATGGATATTCGCAAAAGAAATGAGAAAGATATATGTCCTGCAGACAGTGCAAGGACACATAGCATTTTTAATAATGAAAAATATTCTTCTTACTTATAAATTGGAGAAGCAAATGTTAATACAATAATAGGTAATGCGAAAATGATTGAAGGCTCCAGAAGAGCGAATATAATATTACCACAAGGGACAATAATAAAAATTGGTGATGCATTATTTTCATCAAAATCACCAAGAAATTTATTAAATTTTAAGGATATTCGGTCCAAAGAATATCATGTTGAAACAACTAATGATGGTGATAAAGAGTATCTCAATATTACAAAAATGATATCGGGTAATAAAAGTCTTTTGGAAAAATTACTTGTATTATCCTCCGGAGTGTATTATACAAATATTAGAATGATTGAATATCATGCTATTGAAAATAAAAGGTATGATAACACCTTCAAAGTTTGGCATGACCGGTTGGGTCACCCCGGATTAATTATGATGCGCGAAATAATTGAAACTTCAAGTGGTCATTCCTTGAAAAACCAGAAGATTTCTCAAGCTAATGAATTCTCTTGTGCTGCATGCTCTCAAGGAAAATTAATTTCTCATCCATCATTGAACAAAGTTGGGTATGAAAGTCGTATTTTTTAGAAAGAATTCAAAGGGATATATGTGGACCAATTCAACCACCATGTGGACCATTTAGATATTTTGTGGTTTTAATTGATGAGTCAACTAGATGGTCACATGTGTGCTTGTTGTCTAGTTGTAATTTGGTTTTTGCAAAATTTCCTTGCATAAATAATCAACCTAAGGGCACATTTCACTGATTACGCAATTAAGAAAATTCGACTTGATAATGATGCAAAATTTTCATTGCAATCTATTAATGATTATTGCATGTCGATTGGATTGAACATCTTGTTACACATTTTCATATGCAAAATGATCTAGCTGATTCATTAATCAAACGCCTTCAATTAATTGCAAGACAGTTACTAATGCATTTTAAACTTCCTACATTGACATGGGGCATGCAATTTTACATGCAACATCACTTATACGCATCAGGCCAACCAGTTGCCATTAGTTCTCCCCTATTTAACTGGTTTACGGCCAGTTCCCAAATATTTCCATCTAAGGATGTTTAGATGTGCAATTTATGTACCCATTTCTCCACCTCAAAGAAGAATGAGAATTTATGTTGGATATGAATCTCCATCTACAGTAAAATATTTAAAACCATCAAATGGAGATTTATTTACAGCTATATTTGATGATTATTATTTTAATGAATCATATTTTCCAACATTAGGGGGAGAAATAAAGAAGCTGGAAAATAAAATCTCTTGACAGGAATTATCACTTTCATTTTTAGATCCCCGTTCAAGTCAATGTGAGCTTGAAATAAAAAAGATAATTCATTTACAAAATTATAGCAAATCAATTGTCAGATGCATTTACTGACCCTAAGAGAGTAACAAAGTCTTATGTACCAGCTGTAAATGCTCCAGTTAAAATTGATATCCCAGAAGGAAAAAATACAACTACAAATGAATCTGAGGCACGCCTGAAGCGTGGAAGACCAACCGGTTCCAAAGATAAAAATCCTCAAAAACGAAATGGAGCAAATATAATTGATGGTCCAAAAGAGAAAACTGAATCTCTTGAAAAGATTAATGAAGCTCTAGAAGAGCCCAAGGACACAACAAAAGAAAATAAGGTACCTGGAAAAAAAATAAAAAATGATGAGATCTCAATAAATTATGTCATGAAGGGAATAAGATGGAACCGAAATAAGATAGACGTCGACGACAATTTTTCATATCATGTTGCGCACGAGATTATGGAAGAAAATAAGGATCTTGAACCTAAATCTATAGAGGAATGTAGAAATAGAAAATATTGGCCAAAATGGAAAGATACAATCAACAAAGCACTTAATTCTCTTACTTGACGAAAAGTTTTTGGACCTGTAGTCCGTACACCAAACAGACTAAGACTAGTGG